AGTTCTCTCTTACATTTCTTTATATATAACCTATATCCAATAGAAAGTCAAGGTTTTCATCTATCAAATGATGTATTGTATAATGTTGTATTCTGAACAGAATATCATCAATTTCACTCACAATACAAGATTCGTTCCAATGGAAAAGATAACGACTAGCAAGGATGAATTTGTAACGGCTCTTGTCGCATAGTTAGAAAGCCAGGAAAATTTGGAGGAAGAAGTGTTGATGAATAACCTCCACCTTGGACTCCAAAATCATTCTACATAAAAACAGGGCTATATGGTGGTTCCATAAATAAGACATGGGTAGGTGCACATTAGTTAACAGCACGCCTCTACCCAGAAGATCCCAACAACAGATGAGCCATGTCTGAAGGAAAAAGGAGCAAGAAAGACAATCTTGCCAACATGGAATACATAAGAGAGCAAGTATCCTTCTAAAACCCAGCAGGGGAGCAGGAAATAGAAGATGGATGGAGGATAGGTATCTCAGGAAGGTGGAGATGGGAAAATTGGGCTTGGGTAAATCTCACAGAAGTATCAGGGTCAGAATCCCACACCTGGTACAAAGTCTCTAAAAAAAGGTTTGAGAGTCAAGAAATGGAAAATCCAAATAATGGTATGCCAATGCGTAATTATCCGAGGTACAAGGGGGACAAGGAATGCTGACCCCAGAACATAACTGTGCTACAAACTGATAAGCATGGATCCAATAACTGGAGAGGGTGGGAAAAAGTAGTCAGAGGAAGGGGCAGAATGCAATAGGGAAGGAGAGGAGTCATAAGACATGGGGGACACAGACAAAAGGTAAAACACCTATGACACCATATCCATAAAGGCTGAAGTCAGTCTGAGGGCATCCACTGGTGGAAGACAGGATTGCACGGCAAAAGAAGGAAAGTGGAAAGAGGCTATCTAAATTGTCATCTTCTTGTCCAGGTTCACCAGGTAAAGAAATATCTGTTCTGGGATAAGGAGACACCACAAGCTGCATAATGGACTTCAATTAATGATGTATTAAATCCGAGACCTCCTCAGCTGAAAGTGTGGAACCAGAAGCCTGAGAAACTGCACGTTGGGGTAGTAGTAGTTAGCTTCTGTGGTAGTAGCAGTGATTTGAAATTCAAGATTCATAATTCAACTGAGAGTGAAAAAAATTAACAACCAACAGTAATTCAAATTTAATTGTAGAAAAAAATCTAAATCAAACACAAGCAAAATTTGAAACATATCTTTATGCTACAGTGCCTAATCAAGAAGTGAAGATTGGGTTCTACAGAATAGAGGGAGCCAGCTGTGCCAGGAGAATGTGTTGCACACCTATTGGTTGAGGGTGTTGCAAGCTTATTTGCTTGCTACATTGTAGCTGTACCATGTTAAACACATGGGGTAGGTGGTAGTATCGAAGCCAGTGGAGAGCAAAATATTTGTACATTTTGAGAGCAGCACTCAATGATAAAAGCTAATATGTGAGAAGTAAGGTATCATATTGGAATTGGGCCCTTAGAGGATGCTGATGGCAAGGTTTCTGTTGAAGGTTATAAGATGGCCAAGCTTTAAGTAATCTCTTTTTACCCAAGTGTTAGCAATATTCCTGACCCTTGAAATTATACTCATAATTCAAATTACAACATCCCACATGCATTACCTTGCATTTAGTATAATTAAATGCCACCTGCCATTTACTTGCTAAACTCACCAATAATTCAAATCCTTTTGTATGCAGCAGCATACTCCTCACAGTTAGCAACACTGAAAGCCTTAGTGTCCTCAGCAAATTGAAGTAATCTATTGACCATGCAACAGCACATTCTGATCCTTATAACTACAATATAAGTAAAAATGTAAGAAAAGTATATTTAATTAGCTATACTCATTACCAAATTAATTTTTAGTTTTAGTTTTACTCTAAGTAGATAGCTCATTCTGATTGAGCTAATATTAATTTAAGCACAATGAGCTTTACCACCACAATGTACAAACATTAGAAGTTTTTAACACAGTCAGAATTAGAGTACTATAAACATGCTGCTTCAAAATAGAACTTATTTGTATATGGTATAGAATCTATTGCTAAGTTAATTCGTTACTGTGGAGACCCAAATCTCAACAGATTGGTACACAGTGTGACAATTTTCAGAATATAATCACAGAATTCAACATCTTCAAACACCTTATCATGAAATAAAAAAGAATTCGCATATTGTGACTTTTGGTGTATTGGTCTACAGAAATTCAAAGATGCATTCCCGAATATATGTATACTTGAAGAAATGCCACTAACAAGTGTATATGCTGAAAGAAGATTCATCATACAAAACCTAATCAATCTGCTCTACGGAGCAATCTCATTATACCAAATGTGAAAAAGTTAGTTTCTAAAAGTAAAACTAGAAAGACCAGATATTCAAAATTTTGATTTGGCATTTTAAAAGTGATCCAGCTCTATTGATAAATGAATATTCCAAGTTTATAAAAAAAAGTTATACCTTTAACTTCTTCATACATATAAGATTAAGAACCAAATCAAATCAAAGTTAAGGCAACAGCGACTATGTTTTACCATCAGTTGCACAGTACAGTTTTTGTGACTGCAAAATTCTGGATTTACCATCAAATTAATAAAGTTTTAAAGATGTAAATTAATGTTTAACTATGTAGTACTCGGATACTTTAATCAACTACATGATGTATTTCATTTAACTCTATGCTGCTTGTGTGATGTAAGCTATTAGTTTGATCATAACATATAACATAAAAACAAAGACTGATCAGTGCAATTCATCTATTATGTAATCAACTACTTACCTATAAGCATCAAATAGTGCCATGATGAAAAATAACGAAGTAAATAAAATTACAGTTAAGTGTCTCAAAAATAATCATATAGTTGAAATTAGTGTTTCTGATTGTTTTCAATTGCTCCAAAAATCCAAATAATCACATATTGCCATTATGATTTCTCATTACTATTTTGATTAATTCATAGTTGTTCAATTTAATGTTTTTTTACAACTCACGTAAATAATCAATTAATACAATCATGTTTCCAATTATAACTATTTTTTATTATTGTAGCTGTTCAAGTTTCATGTTAGAATGATTATTAATGAGCCCAACAATTAATCAATTACCAAGTTCCACTGATGGCCCAGCTTTACTGATTAGTATTAAAATGTGTTCTTTACTTCCTCCAAGTTCTAGTAGTAGTATAGAAATAAATTAATACATATAACATATAGATAACACGCAACTGTCACTATAAGTATAATATTGTAAATAATTATATATCAATTTATTATTCATGATTACCACATTAAATATTTCATACTGACTTATACTAGTTATACTATAGTAACAGAAATTCAATTAGGCTACTCCATTGGTCAATATACGGAGCACTTAAAATAAGAGGGCTGTTCTTCGACTACTACTACTACTGTTAATTACTACTACTATTACCAGATGAAAGGGTTACAACTTACAAGGATAGGTTTAGATGTTTTCTTGAGAAAAGAAAGGGAGGTTAAATTAAAATATAAAGGGTGCACTTAAATCCTACTTTTATCAAGGGTGGATATGCAAGGGCACCCTTGACGGTTGAAATAAAAGAGTCTACTATAGAGATGATGAAAAATAAACTTACTTGACTTAAATTTAATATTAATGCTTTCCTATGATACAACGGTAACTAGTAAATAAAGTTCAAACCAACACCCGCCATAATTTGTGCTCAATAATGGAATGTGGTGACACCTGACGAATCTATTAGTAAGAAGGAAGGCATCATTTTTAAGGAACATAAAATACCCTCACACAACAAAGAAAATTTAGAAAAATACGTTGAGACACATTTAAAATGTTTATTGTTGTTGTTTTCTTTAGCGCCAAGTTAGACACTGGGCTATATGAGCTCTATCCACAGCGGGGAATCGAATCATGAATTTTAGTGTTGTAAGTCCGGAAATTTACAGCTGACTGACCGGGGAACAGATATTAATAACTGTTAAGGCTAAATATACAGGATAGTTACATGACTGATCGCAAAAATATTACCTATATCGGCTCACGTACTTAAAGTTGAATAGCTCAGTGATAGAGTGCAACTTTAAATTAATACGTACTGTATTTGCCGGTGTATAAGACGATACTTTTTACTCTTTTTTTAACCCTCGTCTTATACACAGGTTCAAAGATAGAGTTACAATAAGAACTCTTCGGTTAATAGCATATTTAACAAAAACTACGTTGCTCCTTTTATTTTTGTTTGCTTTTTTATTTAGTAAGTGCGTTGACACCATGCCACCTCCCCCCCCCCAGTGGCAGAGCGATATTTCTGCGGACTTACAAAGCTAGAAACCGGGTTTCGATACCTGTAGTGAGCAGAACACAGAGAGCCCATTGTGTAGCTTTGTGCGTAATTACAAACAAACTATGCCACCTACTGCGTTACAATAACATATTTGTAATTGTATCATTTGTCTTGATTCTTCAAAAATATAAGTTATGAATCTCACATACTAGTTACAAATTAATCATGCTATTTATGATCTGAAATGTATTGATCTCCTACGTCATAATGAAATATTGCTAATCATCATCATCATCAAGTGCCATGCTTTTTAGCGTAGACGATCATGTCCCTCCACCTTTCCTGGTCCCAGGCACTTCTGATTACATCAGTCACCCTCTCTTTGTGTAGCCAAATTGTTAAACTGTCCAGGATCTTCTCCTGCTGTCTACCTCTACTTCTTTTCCCAACAAATTATATTGCTAATATTATATCAAAAAAGTGAGTCTATGTAACGTACTAATACGTATCTGCTTGTTTGTTAATTTCCGGTACAAATTCTTTCCGAGGAGCTTCAGCGATACAAGTCCTTTCTTGATTAAACCAGGTTATTCTTTCTCGATACAAATTTTTAGTACACAGTAATTCCACAGTCAGAACATTTCTCATCACTTTAAACTTAACAACTTTTATAATATACGCTATAAATCACAGCGATTCAAAATCTCGATAACTTTGCTCTCTACGAGTGCAAAACACACTAGCTCGAAACAGAATCGTAAATTACCCGAAATTCATCGTGACTACTGTTTGCTTTATCATCCATTCATCGTTGTATCCGTTGGCTTTTCTTGCCAGGCTTATATACTAACAAAGAGGCTTCACCAAAATTCGAGGAGTTCCCTGATAACTGGAGAAACTCAGTCACTCATGCTCCAGCAGCGTCACGTGACTTCCGCTATTGTAACAGTAAGCTAAGTTTGTAAACATATTTTATAGTAGATTACTATATGTTAAGGTTTAGTAGTTTTTTTGTAATAGAAAAGGAGTTCAACTGTGAGGAAATCTTTGTAAAGTTGTTTGTTACATGTTTGTGACTTAAGTTATGCCACATTGAGCTGTTTGTAGCACCTGTAGAGCATAAAAAACACACTTGTGGTTGTACTGATTACTCCAGACCGCACTTTAGCACATTTAAAGATAACTTCTAAGAATTTCTTTACAAAAGTAACATCCAAGACTTGCTTGACAATAGAGGTCGTCCTATATACCGAACCTTAAAGAAATACACTTTATTTGCACAAAAAATCCAAGGTCATGTTATACACCGGCAAATATGGTAAGATAACATATTTTTGTCATTTAATTCTAACCTTTAGCTGTCTAACTATTGATTATCCGGTCTATATAATTTCAATGAAGTTGTTATCCATGGGCGAATGGGATCGCCAATACACCGGAAAATTCCCGATGGGCCGGCTTTTTATCGAAAGAAATTTGATTTTTGATTTTTTAAATAAAAACAAAAAATATCAGGGCCGGCCCTTAGGGTGGGTGACACGTGTCCCCACACAGAGCGTCCACCCCAAATGGCACCAAAATCGACATTGCAAATAGCAGTTCTTGTCAATTTTACAGGGGGCAGGAGCGCCGAATACAAAGTCATACAGGCCACAAGTTTTCCTAGGGCTAGCTCTATAAACAACTATTTAAATCAAACTTAATACGGTACACATTTTCCATTATCAGCTTGTAGCGTGAATGAGCGATAAAAGTTAATTACATTATTCTTTTAAAATTCTTTTTGTGTGAGTTAGTTTCGATTCATAGAATTTTGCCATCGCATAAGGATATACCTTCCTAAGATGTGTAATAACTGAAATAAACGTTGGATTGTAAATTTAAAAAATTGCGCAATGTATTTGTTTTTTAATTTGTGAGTTGTATGAATGGTACTAGTACATATTGTTGCGTCATCGAGTCTACATGACTACTGTGACGCAACGTTTCTAGAACTATAATGTATTTTGGCGAATGCTCTAGTGTTTGCTAGATGGGGTAGGCGGGTATATATAAGAGGGGACAACGTGACGCGGGAGGGTAGTGTGTGTGTAGACAGTGTGAAATTGATCTGTAGTCAGAAGTATTATTGACGTTCGTT